TGCATTTCGCTCCATTGTTTCGGCGAAGTGGCGAGTTTCAGTTACGAGGGTGCATCAGAAAACGGCTCTTATCGATACGTACATCTCTCTCTCTCTCTATGATCCCTTTTCCCGAACCCCCCAACCCTAGTAACCCAAGAGTACAAACTCATTCGCAGTACACTGGTGAACATAGGTCCTCACAATGGGATCCTGACCACCCCCATACATAAGGACCAGCTCTACACCCCAAAGCCCTAAACCCCTTCCCCCCCCCCCCCCCCCCCCCCCCCACCCCAAACCCCCAAAGCCAGGGGCGATTTTGGCTGCACCTTTGGTCCGCTAAAGGCAGGGTTTGGGTTTTGCTCACGGGCCCGTTGCCAAAGAAAAGTTGAGTTCTTTAACAGGGCCTTGTTGGGTGTGGGGCTTTCTAGGGTGTAGGGCGTAGCTCAACCACTGTTTTGGGGGAACCTTTTGGGAGTTCGCCGGTGAGGGCTGGGAGTAGCAATGCGAGTAGCTTAGGGCGGCCGGAGCCTTGGGCCGTGAGCCCATTCACTCAAAAACCGTGGGTTTAGGGTTTAGGGCTGAGGGCTTAGGGCTTAGGGCTTAGGGTTTAGGGTTTAGGGTTTAGGGCAAACATACCTCCTGCGGCTTTGGTGTAGCGAGGGCTTAAGAGGATTTGGGGTTTTGATGTGTCGGCCAGACTGGGTTTCGAAAGGAAGTGCAGCAGCAGGCCAGGTTGTGAACATGAGCAAGTGGTAAGTGATTGCGCGCTTTTGATTGCTGCTATGGACCGGGATACCGAGCCTGGTACCCCGCAACCCCTAACACTAAACCTAAGGCCTCGTTACATCCAGACAGTACGCCAGGCTTCCAGCAGAAGAATGTAGATTGCGTTTAGGGCCCCTATGTGCAGAGAGGTCTCCCTTGACCGCGCGGACATTCAACCTTCAGTTGCGCCAAGCATCGTGAAGCAAGAGAGGCTTGGGATTTCGGGAATAATGTAAGGGTTTTTCAATCTGGCTTCGTGTCCAAACTGCCGAGCCGACATCGTAAAGACATACTTTGATGTTCGCGGAGCGAATTGCTTTCCGAGTGTAAAGGTTGATTGCATGAGCCATGCCACGTACAAATTGTGAAGAGATAGTGCCTACAACGAAGTGCCCGACTGAATCATCTTTAAACAGGCCACCAGGATATTAATATCAGCTTCGGGCGCAACACAAGTTAACCTTTGCCAAGTCCCCCGGTACGTGCTATACGTACATAATATAAATCCATTAAGACGACGTCTCGTGCGCATTCGTATCCTTGTAAAACTTCTGGGAAGGAAAAGGTCAAAATGCAGCTGTGCAGATAGGAGCAGAAGTTGTTGAAACAAAGTAACAGAGAGACTCAGAGACATTCGCAGCCCGCCTGTGGGTTTCGGAATTTCAGAGTGCTTAAACTCCGAGGTTTTGGCATCGTCCAACGTTGACACACTGCCCTCTCGCCTCGTGCGCATTCTGTGCATGGTCCAAACCCCTCCCCGCCTTGGTCCTAGGCTTTTTTTCCCGCTTCCATCGCTTAGTGCGCAAGAACCGTGTCCCCCATGGGATATTCCCTTGGACCCCCAAGGTTGTAACTTTGGGTTTGGGGACCCTTTTTGAAGATCCTCGGGCGATATAAGGGCCATACTAGGAGTATGCTAAGGGAACCTCTTCGGGGTACATCCTTGGGGGTACGAGTATGACTCATTTCAGCAGTCGAAGGCACGCACCTGCCTGGGTGCCCTGTGTATGCTCCTTGTGCAGACCAATCGTCGCTTTTGGGCCTTGGATCGTGCTCCTGCAAGTGACGGTTGCGATGTACTGTCGCCGTGGTGACCGGCGCTGGTTGGTTTAGAGTGTTCGACCGGACCCCGTGGAATGAGGGGTTGAGGTCCAAATTTTCCAACTATTCGGATCCTCTTAGGTTCCCTGACAAAACCCCCTTACGCCCCCATCTCAAAGCACTATCGTAATCTGAACCCTCCGCCCCGCAGGTGCGAGCAGCTCCAAAACAAGGACCTCCAAAAGTCGAAAATACCAAAAGCCCCTTCGGGTGCGTTGATGTGGGGCTTCGGGGTCTCCAGGGTGTTTGGGCTTCCGAGCTTTCAGGGCGGGTAGATATCTAGAGGTTGAAGCGGGTTTTAAAGGCAGGCTTCCTAAACCCTAGACCCTAGACCCTAAACCCTAGACTTGATGGGTTTTCAGACCTGGCTAGGCCAACTTGGGACTTGGAAAAAGCCCACGCTGCGCCCAAGAGGCAATCCTTACTCAACCCGAAGCCCTTTCTGAGATGAAATGCTTGAGAACCCCCCCTTCTGCCCCCGAATTTTTGATTCTGGGAAGACATGCCCATATACCTCAGTCACTCATCCTCCCGCTGCCCAAACCCAGAAGTCCAGAAGCAACGCTGACACCCAAGCCCCAAAACCCTATAAACCCTAGCTGTGCAGGACGGAAGAACCCCCCACACCCTTGAGTCGAAGCTAACCCTGAAGTCCATATGGTGGTTCACGGAATTGGGGGGGTACCTTCTTGGGGTCCCCTGTAGAAATAAAACCCTAAACCCTTACTTTTTCGTAAGACCCCATATGGATCCAAGGATGCCAGTCAATCCTTGCGCTCCCTGCCTTTTCGGCCTGCCTCAAAAAACAGAGCCGTGGTCGCAGGGTTTAGGTTTTAGGATTTATGGTTTGGGGTTTAGGGCCCGGGTTCAAAAAGCGGGTTCAGGGTTTAGGGTTGTTCGTGTGCAGGGATCGGAGCTATAGGGCCCAAAGGTCTGAGGGCCAGGCACGTGCCGAAGTTGTGCAGCAGTGTTTTGAGGGTTGTTGGAGGAGCTGGGGCAACTATGGACATTCTCTAACGATTCTGTTTCTACAGCCCCGGACCCTCAACCCTGAATGACAGGGCCCATCGACTAAACAGCCCAAATCTCTTCCTCTGTCGCGTACCAGTCTCTCCATGAGGCTTGTAGGTTGCAATCTGAGTAGGCGCTTGAACACCATGAACCCCACAGCACCCCCTCGCCCAGTAGTTGTAGGACTGCTCCCAGACTAGTGGGGCGCCCTGAACCCAAGACCCACCGAGAAGCCCAAGCGGCAGAGAAGTCCTTTGTTGGTCATGGCGTTTCTTTTGCAGATGGCAAGCACACTTTTGCTACTGCGAACAGCCATGCCCAATCAAACTCACCGTGCTTTTGAATATCATTGTAAAAGTTCAGTCGGCTGCCACATTTGCCTGGCAGGCAGGGTGACATCTCCGCCATGTCAATATGCCAATGTCCCATTTGTGAGCCCAGTCGTGTTGTCCTGCAGGAGCGTGGCACACGAACAAAGCTTGCCAAGCAGATTTGTTAAGAGAATGTCGCCCCTTCTCCCCCTTTCTCTGCAAGTTGTGGCACTGAGGAACTGCGTCGAAGCGCGCAGCAGCAAGGCAGTTGTCTAGCTTCAGCTCAGGGCTACTGTTGGGGCATGGACAAGTTGTTGAGATGTTCCTGCTTTTAAGGTGAGGATTCCCTTCAGAGTAAGATGAACAGAAGCCCTGCTGTTGCAGAGAGTGCTTGCAGAAACCCTAAACCCCTAAACTCTTCAACCCCCTGAAACCCCTAAACCCCTAAACCCCTAAACCCGAAACCCTGACCCTGAGCCCTAAACCCGACCCCATGGCAGGATGTCTACCGCTTCCGTGCCTTCACACCCAAGGCGCCAGGGCATGAGGACTTCAGGCAGTTGTGGAGTAATATCCTAGGTGGGATAAGGGGGACCCTTAAAAGGGAACCCCTTCTTAACCCTCTTCTGGCTCTCTAAACAAGGGACCTTATTCAGAGGGTCTATATCCCCAAGGATGCCCCTAATCCTATCCCCTTTATGTAGGCGCTGTTCACCATGTCCTTCAGGGGCCCTTGTTGTTTTTTTCATGGGAGTCCTTGGCATGGCATCGAGGGTCCTTTGTCGTGTGGTCGCAGGGGTCGTACGCCTTTCTCTTTCTTGGCTGGGCTTGTCATAGATGATATGGGTACTAAAACAAGTACTTTTTGGGAGCCAGCCTGTCACCCAAGACAGGTACGAGGCGGCGACGATGGCCCTGAAGCACTGCAGCCTGCCGTCGCTAAAGGGCTCCTGGGCTGCCCGCATGAAGGACTTGATAGGATTTGGTAGCTTAGGCTTGAGGCCTCGTTCAAGGCTGGCTAAGGACAAAGTTGCACTCAATACCTGCGTTGGCCATTCTGTCTACCGGATGCAGAAAGGGCGCAGGCATTCGGGGTTCCAAGTGCAGATGCCTGTTGATTTCCGGTCCTCGGAAGCAACAACAACTGAAGAGCCTTTGGTTTTGGAGCCTGAGAAGCCGGCAGAGTTTCAGGCGCAGCTGCGGATGATGCTTCGGAGGCGTCGGAACCCGCCCGGGAGCGACAGCATCCTCCTTCGTTCTATTGCACCTGGGCAAAAAAATACAGATTTCTTGCACCCTCTAAACCTTCACCCTCGTACTACTGATGCGCTGTGTGATGTTTACAATTCGGCCTATATGCTTGCACTCCAACAAATGAGAATTGTGCCTGACCTAGACAAGAAATGGGAGTCACTGTCATTGCCATCATGTCTTTGGGAATGCTTGTTCGTTCAGGCTTACCATTTGCGATTTGCGCGACTTTCCCCATCTCAATCACCCTAAACACTAGACCCTAAAGCCCCAAAACTCTAAACCCTAATCCCCCACCCCCCGGCCCTTTTGAGCGCAACCGAAGCAATGTCAGTTGCACTTGAGAGGCCCCATCAGCCGGCAGTGGCTCTGCTGCCAATGCATGGGCTTGGAGCAGAGTTGTGGGTTGAGGGTTCAGAGTTTCTGAGTCGACTACTAAATAGGAAGTTTTTTGGCACATGCCTTTGAGAGTGGGAATTCGGAGCTCAGAAAGCGACTGCCGTTGGTATCGACGATCCATCACTAGCTTCGCAGAAACCAAACCCTAAAAACTGGACCCGAAATGCTGCAAGGTGCATGCATGATCCGGTAATTCTCTCCGATGGTCACACCTACGAGCGTCGATACATCGAGAAGTGGCTCCAGCACAAGGCCCCTGCGACATGTGTCGTCGGATGTCTATATTAGGGTGCGATAGCTTTTTGGCCTAAACCCAACCCTAAGCCCGAAACCCTAAACCCTAAACCCTAAACCCTAAACCCTAAACCTTCCTCCATCTCTCCTTCCTCTCCCCTCCCCCTTGAGGTCCCCCCGAAAACCCTGGGAACCACAATAGGAGTGTGATACTCAACATGATACAACTTCGTCAAACGGTGGAGAAAGTGGAGGCACTGGCCTTTGACAAACTCCAGAAACCAGAAGGGATCACCACCCAGGACCTCCTAGACCTTTGGGACGCTCTCCCCAAACCATGCTTGCAGGGTCCCACACAAGGCAGGTCCTATATCACGGGAGCCAGTCACAGACACTCGGAGGCGCCTGTACACAACACCTTTGACACGCCATGCGTGACACAGGCCCTTACACGCTACATTAGGACCAGAGCTCCGGGGATCCCATTTGCGGGGGCCACCATCAGAGAGGGCTCCACTAAGGGTGTCCACCGAGACCCTATGAACTCGGCGATTCCTGCGATCGTCATGGGGTTGACGAAACATGACGGGGGAGATCTCTGGATTGAACACCCGGAGGGAGATGTGGCTATGAACCACGAGGGTGCGGTGAAGAGGGGTAAAGTCTACGACATCAAACGTATGCCCGTGGTCTTTTCTTCCTGTACTCTACTCCACGGGCCAATGCCCTGGACTGGAACACGTCGGCTGATCTTGGTGGCTTTTACCCCTAGGAATGTGAAAACATTCTCCACGGAACTCAAATCCCTGCTGCTCTCCCAAGGATGTGTCATGCCGACTAAGGCGCAGCTTTGCAGGTATGGCGCACAGACGACGTGGCCGGGAACGGCTCAGCTGTCCCTGCCAAGCACCATCGTCAGACAAGGGGTTCAAGCTCCACCCTCTCATTCCATGCGGACCCCGATGACGGAGGTAGTGCCGCTCCTAGATGTCTCGAGCTCGGATGAAGACACTCAGGGCGTAGGTTTGCGGGTCACCGGGATGGCAAAACCCCCCCCCCAATTACCTGCAGAGGCTACTGAAGGAGGATGCTGAGGATGTCGAAAATGAGGTCCCGTGGCTTGAACAACCGAAACCCTCGTCCGCTGCAACCCGAACATCGCCTTCCCCCGGCCCGCCGCGTACACGCCCACGGAACCCCCAGCCCCCCCCGTGCCTGAAACGCGCGCAACCACTGAGCCCTCAGCCTGAACATTCGATACACCCTGACCCACCCCAGCGTATCAAACGAGCCAAGACCCTCCCAGCCAGGCTGAGCCGGGCTAACTCGGAGGAAAACCAGCACGCGACATGAATGAACATCCATGCTCCCCTCTCAACGGGGGATATGCAAGTCAATTAGAGGCCGATGCACGCACCCATGCATGTTTTGCAGACTTCGCATGCACCCGTGATGGCTGTGCGTGCCGGTGGAGGGGAGGGCGAGTGAATCTTTGCACATACATGTCTGTTTGGGCAGAATGCTTGATTACAGGCGACCGCCTCTGACGCCAAAATGTACCCACACAGCACACTAATGCAGGCAGCCAACATGCTCTTTGAAGTAGGCCACTGCCCTGAACCACTTAACGTAAAGGACTGACGTCCTGCCGCCACGCCATGCCCCCGGCTTTGCGTCCGCTCCAGGTCGTCGCCTCGTCTTGGCTCTTCTGCGCTCTCGCCTCTCCAGCCTCTTGCTCTCCCGTCTGTGACTCCCCTCCCTATCCTCCCTATCCTCCCTATTCCCCTATCCTTGACTCATTTGTAAGTCCCCCCCTACTAGGTGACTGTAACCCTAGTGGTCACTCCGTGCAGCCATGGCTGTGGCGTCATCTCCTCTGGATCGGCGTCCTCGGCACCAGAGGCCCGGGAAACAGAACAGCTGAGGACAATGCGGCAGGTTCAAAGCCCCTTAGAGGACTTCTCCTGCAATTCTGGCAAAGGGAACAGGCCACTCGTGGGGCGAGACTGACTGCGGGGGCGACAACCGCTCCGCGAAAGATCAATCGCAGAAAGGCCGCCTGATCCAAACTTGACCGGAATATGTGCAGCAGATCCAGACCGCCGCGAGGTGCACCAGACCCAGGCCGCCAGTGGAACTTTGGCTGTGAACCGTTGTCTTTGGCTGTGAACCTTTGTGAAGGACATGTCGTAACATAGACGCTGAATATGGGGAAGACAGCAATGCTGTACAAGATCCATTGAAGCCTGTGCGGCGGATCCAGACCACTCGCAAGGCTCTTGCTGACATCCAGGGCGATGAACTTCCTAGCGGGAGCACAGAGGACAGAAATGCGCTGGCCATGGGGAGAGATGGCTGCTGGTTGTGGTGGGATGCACTACACACAGAGGAGGTAGGCAAAATGAATGACTGGCAGAGGAACGTGGCAAAGTGAGCTGACAGAGCCTGACTGGCACCTGCGCAACACAGCGGGCATTCCCAAGCTCTGCTCTGTGCATGAAAATTAACAAACACGGGTCCTTCCAAATTTGTAATTTGTAATTCAGTCTCACACATCCACGACAGCTCTGACAGGCCATAGACGAAGGTTTCAGTTGTATATTCTCTGGTGGTCAGACTTTGGTGTCTACCTGTTTCTGTTTTTTTGACCTACTTGTGGCCGCAGAGCTCCCCTAATTTGTAATTCATACTTCGTCATACTGAGCTCCTCTGAATTCGTAATTCGTAAATTCGGTGCACGACCTCAACTTTTGGGTGGGCTTGTCTTCCGTTTCTAAGGTTTAAGGGTCTTTTACATGGCTCCCTTAATTTGACGGTCGTCATATAAAGCTCCCTTAATTCGTAATTCGCTGCATGCCCTCGCAAGCATGTCCGCCAGGCTCCCCTAAGTCTTGGTGAAAAGGCATATACAGCTGTGGCCATGACTATTCAGGTTTACAGTTGTAGTTGGCCTAGTAGGCCTTGGTTCTTAGTCCGTTGTCAAAGGTGCACCAAGACTTAGATCAGAGCGACAGTAGAGCCACTCCCTTTGACATGTCGTCGCAAGTCGGATGAGGTTACACTGATTCACGAATTGGCCACAGGCGTGCCCATAGTCGAAATCTTGCTGCGAATCATCCGACTTGACGCCACGCGGGGCTGGATTTGCGTCCAACCTAACAGCACTGTTGGTGAAGTCTTGACGACCTCACAGAAAGGTTGTGATCTGCACTACCCGAGGGTAGTCCCTTATCTCTCAGCGGCCACAGGCGTGCCCATGACCTGAATTTAGGACCGACCTCGTGCGGATCATGACAGTTGCTCACACAAGGCCACATGCCCGACGACTTCTTGTATGTCCTTTGGTTGTGTACTCTACTTAGTCTGTTGCTGCAAATTGTCGGGTTGAGATGGGCCTCGACTGCCTCCCTAGACCAATGAGCCTAGGCAGGCCGTGTACACAGTAGCAGTGAGGTGTATGTCAGCCTCCACACACAGCAAAGGGGAACTGCGCGGGGAATTTTGTACTCATGAACGGGCCACAGGCGGGTCTATAGCAGATTTCACTCATCGGTGCTCGGGCAGTTCGCCTTTGAGATATGCCACAGCGGGCTGCCTCCTAAGGCCAGCAGTCTCACAGGGGGGTGCACCGCGGGCTGAATGAAGATCCATCCGGTTTGCTAGGTGGGTATTGCGTCCTTCTGGACCATCAACTGTTGTTACGTGGCCCCGCACTGACCTGCTGCATCCCCGCGAGCATTTCGTAGCCATTTGTAACCATGCCATGTTGTCAGACTGGATGCATGGGCGTGGGGTTAGGAGCTGTTTGGTCTGTACTGAGTTGTTGAAATTTTGCTTGGTTCTTGTTAATGTGCTATCCGCCACTGGCCCGCGTCCCCTCAAGGACATCAAGAGAGGGCAGGGCCCTTTGAAACGCCTAGCCCGGCAGGCGATACTACTGCCATGTGCATAGTTAAGTTGGGACCACACGTGGGAGGGGGGCTCATACTTGCTACCCGCTCACTAAGTTGGTCGATGGGCCTGTTCAGCCAAGTGCTTGAGGGTATTTAGGTTGGTTTTAGGCGTGTGGTTGGCTTTGGGGCTTGTGAACTTTGTTCCTGTTGAGCGTTTCAAGGCTGAACGTGGCAGCTTAGAACCCACATATGTCCTCCCCTGAATGCCTCACGGCTAGAATCCTCCGGGTAGGGATAGTAATCCCACATCCCAGGGGAAGTTTTTTTACCGTTCTTCGAGACCGACCTATCATCCCCGCTTTGCTGTGGCTAGTCGGGTGCCAAAAAAAACCCTAAACCCTAAACCCGCGGTTCTACTTAAAAATGGGCAGACACGCTGGGCAGCAGGAGATGCGTGGTTTTGGTAGGCTTAGTCGTCGTCGCAGTCGTAGCAGCAGTAGTAGCAGCAACCGGCCACCCATGGCCTAAATTGTTTGTGTAGGGTTTAGGGTTTAGGGTTTAGGGTTTAGGGTTTAGGGTTTAGGGTTTAGGGTTTAGGGTCCGACAGTGGCAGGACACTTCCCCTGTGAGTGGGGCGAAGCTGCCACAGAAGTCCTTTGTGCCCAGGGCCTAGACTTGTGAGACGCGTTTTGATGCATGCTTATGCAGATCAAGCAGCTTTTCAGGTCTCGGCCTCAGATATGGGTATTTGGGTACCCCTAGTTTCGGAAACCCCCATATTAGCTTCGTGTCGGACAATGTTTGGGGGCGGCCCGGGTCTACTGATTTCATGATCTTCTGTAGTTCTGGGACTTCCCCCGTCCCAAAAAATGAGAAATGTTGTCCCCAGAATAGTAAACCCCAAGACAGAGGGACTGCTCTGATTGCAGAGCAGATCAGGAAGGAACGACTGGTCCGGTTTGGGGTTGAGGGTTTAGGGTTGAGGGCTGCATGAAGAGGAGTGGCCGTAGGGATGCCACCATGGTTTAGGGTTTAGGGTTTAGGGTTTAGGGTTTAGGGTTTAGGGTTTAGGGTAGAGAAGAAACAATCTGACAAGTCACCATTTAGGCAGCTTGGCGCATAAACGACAGGTCCACTCGCCTCCGATTCCAGTCATCAAGGGACTAAAGTAGGGACGCTTATAAGGGACCTTAGGGATTGTTTAGGGGTTCTTCAGGGGCTACTTAGGTGTATAGGGACTATAAAAGGTATATGCCTTGACCTGCGGATCTGCTTGTGCTGTGAAAGCAGTGGCCCAAGACCCCAACCCCCTCAAACCCAAAAAACCCAAAACACAACCCTCTTCCACAGAGGTGATATCAGGCGCATGCTGAGGAGATGCAGGTACTTGCTAAGTGGAAACAGATGACATTCACCTGTGCCAGGTTCCTGGCAATCAATTCTGCACGTTTATCTGCAACTACCTCTGCGACAAAACACAACAGGGGAGTCCTGAAAGCTTAAGCTTATGACTCTGCCATGTGGTAAGAGTGAGAGCCGGTACAGTTCCCGAGAAGCCTACCTCCAATTTCAGGGCTTGTTGTTTAGGGCCTGCGACGGCCCCTCAGGCCAAATCACGCGCTTCGAAATGCAATTGTGACTGGGCCTCTTTAGTCGAGGTGTCAGTGATGCTCGGTGTCTGTATTCGGGCTCAGATTGACTGGTTCGGGTGCGCCAGTTCGGATGCATTGCAAAATCTTGCAAAGCACAGATGATTGCCAAATTGGATCCTAGACATGTCACCACACCATGTAGGCAGTTGGGCCCAAATTTGGATTTGTAACATCTGAACGATTGGGAACTAGGTAACTAGCAACTTTTCAACTTCAACCCTCAAGCCTTCAACCTGAACATCCTCAACCCTCAATCTTTCAACCTTAACCCAAGTAAAGCATGTTGGCCTTGGCGGGGATTTAATATTGACTTTAGCTGTGTGACTGTTGAAACTCAACGTCAACTCCTATATTCTCAGGGTTCAAGTACGCTACTGTTTCATTCTATCTCGCTCGAAGTAGATCCGTCCTCATCTTGTTCCTTGCGTGCCGAAGCCGGAGCTACTCAGGAAGAGTACTTCGAGCAGGTGCTATCTCGTCACCGCGAGGCTTCTTTGGTTCGGACTTGCGTTGGCACGATGCAGGGTTGAATGATGGAGGGAGGGCGACCATCAGCTTCACAAGAGCATCTCATCAACTTGGGCCCCCCATCGCTCTTCCTCTCCCTTACTTCTAGAGGATGCACATGGAGACTTAGAAGAAAGTGCTTGTGCGCAGATGCACAGATTCGCCACAGGCAGCGCAATTGCTTGCTTAACTTTGTACTCGTCATCTGCAGTTGGGACAGTGAAAGGCCATCCAGCATACCACGGCTGGCCTGGTCAAGCGGCACGGCAAGTTCAGCTGCAACTCAGCCACCTGTCTGCAGGGTCTAAGGCTGGGCCCTGAGCCCCTCAACTTGAGCGAGCGAGGGAAAAGAGAGAGTCTTGACCGAACAGGGGGGAGCTGGGACGGAAACATTAACAGGAGGTTGTGGCTAGGGGGTCGTGCGAGATGAGTGGCATTGCTGGCCCTGTGCTCCACCGGCTTAACATTGAATACCCGTAACACAGGGGCGGGTAGGTAGAGATATAGGAGTTTGGAGATATAGGGACAGAGAGAGAGAAAGAGAGAGAGAGAGAGAGCGAGGAGAGAGAGTCCCGCCCTGCGGGGCGGCTCCCTTCACGGAGGCGATGCGTGTGGAGATAGAGAGAGAGAGAGAGAGAAGGCGGAAAGGAAGGAAGCAAGAAAGGCAGACAAAATAAAGAGAAAGATCGAAAACACAAGAAGCGCGAGAGACGACCTCAACGGCGCATCCAGTGCGAAGGCCTAGTGCCCTAAGCCTCTTGAAACAAAGAACGAAAGAAATCATTTCTGCACGAGCTCCTCAGAGGCACAGGGCAGCCAGAGACTCAAGTTTCTTCGCGCTACTCCCGGCGGAATCCTCCCAGTCGAATCCTTAAACCTCAATTCTGCAGCCTACATCGCAACTGCTCCAAAGACACCGAACCTCCAAAGCCAAGTGCCCTACATCCGAGGCGATCTTGAGCACCATCGACTCGCTCATGCAATGCTCCTTGACGCAAGCAGGCATGGATGTCGCCTTTGTAGTAAGTTAGTTATATAAGCACCCTTTTATCTTATGAAGCAATAGAACCCCTTTACAGTCCCAAACTGTTAGCCTTTAGTTCCTCTCCGGTAGTAGTTGTAGCGGCAGCAGTCGTCGTCGTCGTCGGCGTCGTCGTCCGAGACACCTGGGATGCTATTTGATCGGCATGGTGCGGTCCTTTTTTTCTTGCTAAGCATCTCTTGCCCATGTTGCTGCTCGCGTCTCGCATTGATGACTGAGGTTCTATTCTGTTGCGCCTTGGCCGTGTGGCTCCTCCCCTTCCCATTCCCCCACCCCACAAGTGAAACATCTGTATGTATGTATGTATGTATGTATGTATGTATGTATATGTTCAGTAAGTACTTAGTACATAGATCATAATAACAGTAACAAATCAGAATAAGGCATGGTCCCCGGGAGGCAGGAGGAGCACCAGTTGGTATAGACCATGCCACGCCAAGCCAGAGCACCCATCGCCCTTCTCAGGATTCTACCTAGACGTCTGCGCCTCATAGAGTATAGTATAGGGGTCAGAAAATCACTAAAAGTACTCCCTTCTATTCCCTATATAAGAATAACCCCCACAACCCTCTTCTAGTTGTTAGGCCTTTGTCGCAGGCGGTGCAGGGCACCACTATAGGGTTAAGGCGCAGGCCTTTGCCGACAAGTTTGGCCGTGTATTGGGTGGGATGCCAGGGTTTAGAGTTGAGGTGGTACATTGCGTGCAGAATTCAGATGCAAGAAAGGTTGGAAATAGCGGGTGCTTGGCCCATTCGCACCCAGTCCTGGACCTTAAGAAGGCTTATGCGTAGGATTTGGGGATTCGGGTTTCGGTTTAGGGGTTTAGGGTGCAGAGCCCCCCAGGAACGTGGACCTCAGTGTGGAGATGGTCTTGACCCGACTGATGGACGAGGCTAAAGGCCTTGTGGGTGCCGAAGTGGCCAGTGCAGCTTGGGCCGAACTGCTGTGGGCGTGTTGCTATTTGGGCTTTGGGCCCTGTGTGGAATGCTTTGTTCTGATGTGTGTGCGTAGTCAAGGGCTAGTCGAGGGCATTTTTTTCCGACCGCGAAAAAAAGCTAGCTCAACATGTTGTAAACCCCCTCACACACAGCAAACACTCAAAGAAGATACCAAGTGCACTTATGCGGTCAACTCTGCTTGGACTTGGCACTTAAGGTCTTCCTGGTTGACAGGCAGCACAAGGAGTTGTACTCTACTGCTGCTTGGTGGAAAATCTTCCCAAAAATCGAGACAAATGGTTTATCAGAAATGGCCACGCATATTCGCTACTGTGTTGGATCTTGACCGGCTTCTCTTAGGCTTGCTAGCAAGTCGTCTGATGGGACCGATCCGCACCCAACAAAACCATGCCTCGACCTGTTCCCTCAATTATAGGGTTGTTAGGGTTATCTGAAAGGTGTCGGCTTAGTGCTGTAGCTCAGCACCACCTCTCTCATTTCCCTCATGAAATGTCGGCAGGGTCTAGCGTAGGTGAGGTGAGCCATAGATATAGATGGATATATGATATAGATATGTGCTTGCGTGAACATGCTCATGTGTATGTACCATATAAATAAATAAATAAATTAATATAAATATATAAATATATATATATATACACATATGGAAACGCTAGACAGCTACCTCCCACGACAGACCCTGGGAAACTACGTGTACGGACGGACCGCCAGGTGTCAGGATTGCGCGCAGGCCGTACTGTACCTGAGGAAAGACCGCTTGAGAACAAGCGCAAAAGCTGAGGTGAATTCCACCGGGAAGGAGATTCGCATACCCTTCAATTCTGGAGTGGCTGGAAGTGTGGCTTGTTCAGGCCGGTTTGTTCTCCAAACCCCAAACCTATTGCGATGGCCTTCATGCCTTGACTGCTGCAAGAGTCCTCGGTTCTTCGCCCTCTGGAACCGGTGAAGAAGCCCCGCAACAACATGCAAACCAAAGTCAATACTGCAGCTCCTTTGGGAGCCTGACTTTCTTAATCCAGTATCGGCATCGATGCCAATTTGTGGCGTCGGTGTCGCTTCGCCCTTGTATTCATTATGTAAGTACCCTCTCATTTCTTCGTGGTTCCTGGATCTCACGGGCCCTAGGTTTGTCAGACAATCTGAAATCATTATGCGTCTGGAGGCAACCTCTCGAAGTCATAGGCCAGAGGAGTCACCCACCCAGTCACAGCCAGGCGAGCCACTCATCATCATCGATGCATACGCAGACTCCAGATTCAATACCGAGATCGATCGAAAGACCGGTGCGGGCCCTGTTTGAGTTCTGGGAAGGTTTGGGATGCCCCTATAGGGCTGTAGCCGAAGGTAATGTGTGCCTTCCCCGTTCAAGGCTCCACCTGGTGCACCCTTGATGTTGAACTTCAGCCCTGGTCATGAAGAGAAAGCATCCCCAAATCTGGACCCCTTGGTTTTCTTCATGGGTAACAGGAACCATGAAACGGGGGGGCGGGCCCATACTTCACTCCTACCGCATCTGTCGTTGATTCACCAGTTGCAAGGAGGGCCATTGGTACCCGGTTTCCCTTGTGTCCTTTGAAAACTTATAAAGCCAACCGGCAGAAAGAATGCGTGGTCTGTAGAAAAATCTTAAGCCAGGAGTCAGACCACCGACAGTTTTACCTCGGTCGTCTTGTTTTCTAGCGGGTCGATGCGCATGCCAACAAGAAAAGGAACAGTACTCAATAATTAACCAATGGTCACAGACCAGATGTATGCTTTCCAGTTTAACTATAACCCCCTTGGGAATTTTTTTTGCTTATATAAAACCCAAGAGGATATTAAAGATCATATTTGCATTAAGGTTCTAAGGTTCTAAGGGGGGTATAGTTAACAGTGGTGGAAGCTGATCGCAAGACCCAAGAATTCTACAGGCAAACGGTGCCCGCTCGGGAACGTGCCTCGTGCAGACTACCTATCAGAGCGCACCGCTGCTTTACTAGGTCTCAGCTGCCACCCCCCCAGATGGTTTAGGGTTTCGGGCTGTTGGATTTACGTCGCTCGTAGCAGATCTAGGCTTCTGTCTGCAGGTTTCCAGACGCGCAACATTCTTTGTGTACCAATACGAGCACCTTGGCCTGCGTATGCAAGAGTCGTTGCGTGTGCTAGGAGCGTGAACATGCCCAGTCAATCCTAGACATGTGGCGTGCAGCTTCGAGAGATGCTTGTGATTGTGAATTTGGGTGGACAACTTGGGCTCAAAGAGTATAAATTGGGATGTTCCCCCTTGTCCTAGCAGTCCTTGATAGAGATTATTGAACCCCTTGTTATAATCCCAGGACTGTTAGTATCAGGGGGAGCATCCCAAAGTATAACCCCCCCCAAAACACAGAGTACAAACCCCAAGCAAGCTCGGCGGTCTCGGCGATCGGGATAAGGCCTTTAAGGCAGGCATCATTGGGGTGGCCCAGCTGATCAACAAGACCGCTGGTGGCGTTCTCTCCCTGCAGGGACCCCTTGCTTGAACGCGCAAATGCCTGTGCTTAATTGTCGCAAGTACCTTCACATCACTCCTCTCGAGCTGTGCTTGGTTCCTTGTTGTGAGTGTCTCGAACGAAGTCTGTGAGCTGCTGGAGATTGGTGGATTCTTGGTTTTCATATGTTTTGATGCAGCGGCTGGAGGAATCAGCATGCAGAAGCCCTCGTGCCCTATACATCCCTGTACTATAGACCTAGTTGGAGAGTTGAGGTCGAAAACAGACCTGTCGGGGCCACAAAATACGTTGTAGTTCCTTGTAGGGTATATGCATGCAGACGCTATCAAGCACAGGCCGGTATTCTCTTTTTTGCGTTCTAACACACCCCACAGTTCAGAGCACGTTTAGTTATCACAATCAGAAGCAGCCCTAAACCCTAAACCCTAAACCCTAAACCCTAGCCCTTCCTAAGTCGGCAGCTTTTGCCAGGAGAAGCTGCCCGTCCAGCCCAGCGCCTAACTTTCACGCAAGATGACCAGCTCTTCTTCGAAGTGTTTGCTTCGCAGGCCCCGTTAAAGGAATGACGGGCTCGCCTTTAGGAGCCACACGTCAGCTCCCACCCAAGGTTTTTGTTGGGCGGTTTAGCTCCCGCCCCCCCCCCCCATGTCGCGGCGAGAATGAATCGGGGGCGATTCCTGACCATCTCAGAGGGCAGTCTTGAGCAGAACATCACGACATGCTTTTGAGGCCGCAGTATTCCGTAGTGGTGATGATCAGCCAACCTAGTAGTCGTAGGAACTACCCCACGGCAAGAGATTTGCATTTCTTGCTTCATTGGACTAGCAGAGCTTGTCTATTTTTGCGGTGAGAGGAGAGGCCAATGCTCAGGACATACTGACAAGAGCTGAACCAACCTGTCACAAAATCTTCTTTGGTGCGAACGCTGAAAGCGTGAGATGCCCGGGGCCATACTTAGGAGTATATTAAGGATAACCTCTTTACCTGACAGGCGGGTTCGGCCATCATCAGCAGCGGCATTTCTGAAGAGATGCCCTTGCCGCCAAACAGCGCCTACAGTGGCATGTAGATCTGGCTTTGGCGTGCGTGTTAATTTTTGCTATGTGTAACGAACCTTGTTTCGTCTTGGCTGCCCCCCCCCCCCCCACTGCCCCTGCGACCCAGACACAGGGAGGGTTAGGCAAGTTACATCTTGATGTCCACTTGGCTGCAGAAGCGGAGAACAGAACGAAGCAGCTGACACTCTCGTTAGGTTCATGCGACATCCCTGATGCTATCCAGACTCACAGTTTGCTAGGGGGAGCAGATGTTTCGAGATCTGGCCGTTTGAGCAATCGGAGCAAAACTCGGTTTTCCCTGAATAGTGCTGGTCCTCCCTCTCGAGCAATTCATCCACAGCTCGTGTTGCGAGATCACAACTGGAACCAGTATCCCTGTGCGCTGGAGAAACCCCCACGGAAACCCCACGAGGTCAACCGCAGGAGGAAAGCGCTTCCTCACAGGCGCGCCCTGAGCAAAACAGTTCTCAAGGGGCCGTTAACTAGGGCTTTGGGTTCCCGAGCCACGGAAATCAGCAATCATAAAACACTGTTTTAGCAAAAAGGCATCGTTGGGTTTATGCTCGAAGAAGCGAATTGTTCTTGTCAGGAGAAGGTTGCGGAGAATTGCCAGTGCAGTTGCACCATCGCCAGTTAAACAGTAGCCCACGTACTGTCGCATATGCACAAGAAACTTACCATAACTTGTTTCGACCACCACCCCCAAGTGTTGCTAGCCTACTGTCAGACGTGCGCAAGGAGTTCAGGAACATCAGCGGGACCGCCCGCGTGTACCGTATGATTGTTGCCAGCTCCTTGAGTTAAGCACACCGCTCCCGACACCATTCTCACATAACGCCTGTCGTGAACCCACCACCTACCACCAAAAAGTCGGGGTCTGACTCTTCAGGAGCCGGTATCTGCACAGTCATCAATGAAGCGACTCCCAACCGAGCCACTGCTTGCACCGCGGCAGCACTGCCTAGAGTTGCGTAGTTTTGGGGTTCTCTGGTGCTACTCAGTAGACATTCTGCAGGCTTCAAGGGTGGCGAAGGGCTTTGGGTTTCGGGTTCGAGAGGATCGGAAGGGTGGACGGGATTTCTCGCTGCTTGCGCCTTACCTCTGCCAACGCCTTCACTCTGCTAACATGCCCAGGATCCAGCCGAGGAGCTGGAGGTTCGCGTGTTGGGGAACTGCTTGGCATGTCGCATGTCTCTCCTGTCTCGGCTTGTGCGAAGTATCTGCGGCCATGCTCATTGCAGTTGTCAGTATGTAGTTTGTTCAGCTCGACTTCCGTGGCTTGTGCCATCGTCAGTGACACCCCTTCGCGAGTCTAGCGGCCAGCAACCTTGCCATGTGCCTGAGCCCACCTGCACCATTTCACAGAAAGCTTGCAGCACATGTTGCCCTAGATGGACTCCAACGCAAGGGGAAGATGAGACTGCTGCAGCCCGTCCTGGCGGCTGCCATGCAAAGTTGGACTGCCGACACCTTGACGTTGGGTGAGCTCACAAAGCGCCTTGGCCGCCAATGAAGGTGCTGCGCCCATCAAGACATGTAGCCGTAGCGGCCCAGTCTGGGGGGAAGCCTCTGCATCTGGCATGGGTGAGAGGGGTGGGCGGATGGCGGGGGGTCGGGGGGGGGAGGAAGACTTCAACCCTAAGTCTCCAGACCTCGAGACCTCCAAGCCTCCAAGGTGGTCTAAGATTCGAGTATTGTACTATGAGAGTAGTGTATCATTTTGTCTTATAAAGTTCTAACATTCGAATACTAAAATATGAAGTATCGTAGTCTTTTCGCATCACAAGTTTATACCGACATACTAAGAAAAACAATCAGATATCATAGTATCGCCCATTAGTATTCTTATCGAAGAATTTTGCATAAAATGATAAAATACAGCTGGTCCCGATTCACTTTTAGCATTTTTTAGAGCAGATTTCATTCGGCCACCTGGGCCAAGTCAGGCAAGACATGGCAAGACTGTAAGCAGTTTGTGCGCATCAGTGTGGCGTGAAGCCCAAGATGCTTAGGGGCATCACAGACCTGCTATTTCCGCAGAACTACCGTGCATTTGACGCACAGGGTTCGTCTGAGAAGTTGTTCACGTGACCTTGAGTACATGTAACCAGATAGCAGATCGAGGTCTCGTTCGTCGACAGAACGAAGCATGTGTTTCCTGCATACCAGGAACCGGCCGCTCTACGTGATGAGTTTGTCCATCTTTCGGCATCTAGGCCTAATCCAGACTTTCGGACGCTAAGCTGCATCCATCTTGTTTGCGCGACGTACCCGTAAAAACATGGTGCCATGTTGAGTTCGGAGGTTTTCGGTTGTTGCGGTTCCTCGGGGGGCCCGGGCAAATTCTAAATCAAAACCAGACCGGCAAGCCTAAGCGAGCGTGAATGCCATCACGAACCCAAATTGGAAAGACCCTTGTAAATTTTGCGAGAGGCTTCCAAACCCTAAACCCTAAACCGTGTCGGAAATCCGTTGACCGCAAGGGCACTCTACAGCGAGCAATCATGGGGATTACTCGGAAACCAGCCATTCTTTCAGCTCAGCTGCCCAGGTCTAGACGAGACGAAGCTTAAGCGTTTCCTCATCGAGGTGGAGAATGGTTACCCACAGAGTAACCGCTATCACAACTCCGCAACTTGGCTGCGCCACGTTACGAGGAATCCAGTCGCAATTGCGCACTGCCTCGAGGTTGTCAGAGAGTAGAAGGTTGGGGGTTGGTTCCGGAAAATTCGGGTCTTCCTGAGACGCTTCGGGTTGAGGTTCGAAGGCCTGCGACTCTTTGTCTGAACGATGCTTGTCTAGTCGTGATGAGTCTTGAAAGCCGCTAGTCACGTTGCGAGCTCTATTGTGATGGGGTTTAGGGTTTAGGGTTTAGGGTTTAGGGTTTAGGGTTTAGATTTAGATATCTCCTCATGAATCACTGGTCAACTGAACAGTTGGCCTTCCTCAGAGCTTTCCTCGCCCCTTCCTCCAAAGCAGCTTTGCAACGTCTTGGGGGTCCGACAAAATACTGTATTCTCCCTGTCTCGCGGCAATGGCAGCGGAGGATACCAATCCGAAGATGAACTCTTCGTTATTCTTCCTTCCCCTCGGGTTTCTAACAACACCCAGTGAGACGATCTTGCATTCAGCATGTGTAGTTTCTGCTTCCTTGCACTTGTAGCCAGGCGCATGCCGCATCAGTGGTGCACTTCATGTATGCCCTCCTCGTTCATGGCGGGGTCGCCACGAAGTGCAGTCAAGCGGCGCACAAGGTTCAGGAGCGGGTTGCCACATGAGGGGATGCACGCTCGAAGCTTTACCAAGGCTTGGGAGCAGCGATTACAGAAATGCACCTTGTCACCATTTTGTCCGACAGCTACCAAACGTGGAGAGCAGGCTCAACAAGTTGCAAGCGAATCTTAATGAGAATGCTTCAACGAGGAGGACATGCGGGTGCCATTCATTCAGTTGGCTGGCCCTGGGCTTAGAACATGGCCGTGAGGATTGATGCTTCCAGCTGTGTTGGCACCGTTGCTTGGCCACGAGCTGTCCAGCTCTGGCCCCTTTGTGGCTCAGGTGGCGAAAGCAAGGCTGCCAGGTCTATTGTTGAGGTTAGGAAGGCCAAGCCGATCTTTTTGTGGCAGCTTGCATAAGGCATACTCGCAGCCCTCATGCACGACTTCGAGCACGAAGGGGTCACAAACGATTTCCACAACAAGACGTCTTTCGGATGCACGCGAGGTGTTGAAGCCTAGACCTCTCAGCATGTTGACGCGAGCTGGTCCCTACAGTGCCCTACCCGAAATGTCACGTGTCACAGCCGGCCCAGGAACGGAGTGTTGGTTGTACCACCCTCCGCCTCCACCCTCCCTGAATATGCTTGTTGGCCGACGAAGGTTGACAGAGAGATCGGTGACGTACAACAATAGGCGAGGCTTCTCCGGGCGGAACTTCTTCACAGTGCTTAGAAGTACTTCCCGACTTGGTGTTGTATTGGGTTTGGGCTGATTTTTCAGGAGAAGTGCGATTTGCATCTTTCCCACCCCTAGCCCCAAAACCCTTGGCTCAAGCTGAGGGCAGCCGAATACTTCAGGCCTCGCTTAGCATGTGCCGGGGTACCGACCATCACGTGTACTTGATTTCGCAACATGGGCACAAGTGCTCCTTCACCTTCAGCAGCACTCCACACCCAGCAGTGCGCAGTATGGGTAGTGCCACCTTGGAGATGTCTGCTTTCCGAATCCGCTGCGGCTTTTCGACATTCTACTCGGTTGATCATATGACAAGAATGCTGCTATGCTATCAACATATCAGCCGTTGCTTTGTACGCCCCAAGATCGAGGTTCAGTCATCCACTCGGATTCATGTCAAATTACGTCTTGTTCAGTTTTGCTATAGTTGCTAGCTTTGCATCGCAGCGCCGCACCTCAGTTGGATGTCTCTGCAACTGTACTTCTAAGTTCCTTGTGACTGTGATGGTTATGTTAAAGAAATGTTGGGTCTGTAGAGGCTGGCTCCCTCACTCACACATTCTCTGTCTCTGCTAACATTGTGGCAAGTTTTCCTCCGTCAGCGCCCTGCAAGGTGCCTGGCTCTAAGCCTTAAACCGAAACCCCCAAGCCCTGTCCCAAGCCAGAGTTGCCCGAAGTTCAAGCGACGCTTCACGCCAGCCTACATAAATGGCCAAGTAAGGTTTTGGGGTTTGGACCCAGGTGTGTTACAATGCTAGCAAGAATCACCCCAAAACATCCGTTCTACTCAAAAGGCCCTCTGCCCTTCGATCCACCAACAACGTGAAAGCTTTGAACACTTTTCATTTCGTTTTCGATGCAGCGTGATGTGCTCAGCATCTCTCTCCCCATAGCTGATGCCTCGTAGGCTGCAGCGTGTTGGAGAGAGTTGCAGCCATCGGCTGACACAGCATCTCTAAGAGAATGGCGGGGGTGTCTGAGGCGTGTTGAGCACATGCGCGTGCAGGAGTGTCAACGAGCAGCATCACGTTGCAGCCGCTTTCCGCGTACTCATGAAGCCAGCCCCCTTGGCGGCAAAGGGGCTCAAGACTCACGGCATGGGCTGAGGACTCATGGGGTTTAGGGTTTAGGATTTAGGGTTTAGGGTTTAGGGATTAGGGAAGGTTTAGGCTTAGGCTTTAGGGTTTATGCTGTTGCTGCCTTCGCGGGCCTGTGATGGGTCCGCCTTGCCAGGCACGAGGCAAGAGAGTCCTCTGGCAAAAGGTTTTAGGGTGGTTGAGGGCTTGGGAGGAGCACAATTATTAAAGGATATTCTTTGGCCTCTCGAAGGCCGGAGGTCGAACACTGCCCGAAGTGGTATATCACATTGGCGGGCTAATCGGTTTTGGGTTTAGGGTTTAGGGTCTTGGGGGGCTTGGATGTTGATGTAAAGGGGAGGACTTGCAAGCGGGTCAAGCATCACAGCACTTTTACAAACGGCGCAGACTCAATGCGTCCCCGAACACATTCCCTCAAATGTAAAGTGAATGTTAAGGAAATGAACTTTCTGGACGGCATGGGCAGCGACCAATTCCAAAACCTCAGGCCAGTGACGGTGTTGGTTCGAGCTTTCGCATGGCTTTGAATTTTGGTAAGGGGAGCTTAATGGAGGTTAGGGTTTGGAAGATGAGGAGATCTGGGATAAGCATCCAGGAGGTTTAGGTGTGGGATTTTGCGGGCTCAGAGGACGGGGGACACGAGCATCCAAAGTGCAGCTTTAGGTGCTTGAAGGACAGCAACAAAGTGCAGGTTTAGGTGGCTTGAAGGGCAGCCAAAGCATCCTTGATGAGAAAGGTGTCGGCACAGGAACATGAACGTGTCAACAAGAGAGGCTCGCAAGGCGTTCTGAGCTTGGGGGCAGATCTGCTTTTGCGTGAGGTCGGTCGTTGTCGAGATGGTCCTGGCGACAGACATGGCTCTCACCTCAGTCACATCAGGTCAAAGTTTCTTGGGCTTGCGCTGTTCCAGTGCTGTTCACCTGGCACCTCTAAATCAGTGACCCGAGCAAGCTTGCCTGCTGCACACCACAACACAACAACCACAACAACGACAACTTAACACCAGCAGAAGCAGCAGTGGCAGCAGCGGCGGCGGCGGCGGCAAAGGCACAAACGCGCGAATGCGTGAAAACACGATTGCACGAACGCTTGCCAATGTGAACGCATGCTGCCGCATGCTTGCAGGTATACAGAATTCGTGCGACCAACTTACGTATGTGCTTGCGCTTACATACGTGACACGTATGACAAGCCCAGATTACATACATTCCACACTTTCCCTACATTCCGTGCGCTAAGTACGTTCCGTATATCCGTGCAGTGTAGCCATGTGCATACTACGTACTTTACATGCAACCCACGCATCATGCACTGCATGCGCTCCTGTTTTGCACCAAGTGGCACACGTTCGACATGTTCCACAGACAGGCTGTGACCATGACTGCCTGGAGGAACATCCACGGGCTGAGCAGCGAGCATGATACATATATATATATATATGCTCACACCCCCCCCCCCCCCCTCGACAGACCCCGGAAGCAAAAAAAGGGCTGAGGGCGCGACGGACAGCATAGCTGCACACAGTAGCCAAACACGTTAACACACAATAGAGATATTTTTTTCGATTAGTACGGTTTTGTGTTCGCAATGAAAGATGCAGACAGATGTGAGAAGGACGCATGCTGTAAGGACCTGAACAATTTGCTCGACATCGAGGATTGCTATTAATGTTAATAAGATTGCTCTTAGTTTTACTTGGGTTCCTATTAAGTTTATTTGGATTCATAGTCTTCGTATGAGTTCAATAGGAAGCCTATTTAAATCAGTAGGAACCCCATTAAAATGAATGAGAACCCTATATTGAAATTAAGACGAGTCTTTTTTTGAAAACTTAGTAAGAATCCTAGTACAATTAATAAGAACCTGGTTGAAATACGTAGAAGCTCCTATTAAAATTTCTTGGCGTCCTAAATTCAGAGGAACCATAGGCCATTCAAATGAATAGGAACCCTTTTGAATTCATAGGGATGCTATTAAAATTAATAGGAACCCTACAAAAGAATCTATGAATTCTTTTTAAGAGTAACAGGAATCCGTTTAACATGAAGATGAATCCTATTAAAGGATTAAGAGGAGCCAATAAAATTCCATAAAAAAGTAATGTGGACCCTTCAAAACTTAAAACAATAAGAGTCGTACTGTTAGAATTATAATGAACCCTATTAAAACATTTAATTAATAGGATTGCCAATAAAACAAATAATAAGAGTTACAATAACATTACTTCGAGTCCAATTGAAATGAATAGGGAACAGGATTTAAAAACATAATCGGAGCACTGTGGAATCTAGTAGGAATCCTATGAACATTATTAGGAATCCTGTCAACATGAATGAGAAACCCTGTTAAAATGAATACGAAGCCTATTCCAATTAATCAGAAGCCTTTTTAAATGAATAGGAAGCTTGTCAAAGCAAAAGGAACCCAATTAGAAATTGTAAGACATCTTATGAAAGTTCATAAGAAGCCTATTGAAATTAATAGGAATATGTATAAAATTTGTTATGAAGCTTATTGAAATTCTAAGACTTTTATTAAAACTAACTAGGAAGAAGAATGCTATTACAATTACTCAGAATCGTATTCCAATTATTTGGCATTTGATTACAATGAATAGGAATCAATATTAAACCCAATAAAGTCCTTTAATAGGCATCCTTTAAAATCTAATACGAACCCCATTAAACAAATACAGGAATCCCATTGAAGTCTTATTAATTACATAAGGACTCCCATTAAAGTGAACAGGAGTATTATAAAATTTCATAGGCAGCCTAAAACATAATAAGGAATCATATAAGAACGCCTGAAAAACTCTTATCAAAAATCCAGTTTCTAAAAAACCAAAAATCCAAACATCCAAACATCCACCCCAAAGGTTTGGATTTTTGGAAACTCGAGCGGGAGCCTCAAAATCCAGAAATCGAGCAAATTCCTCGAGTTTCCAAAATTCCAAAAATCCAAAAAAACCCACCCGAAGGTTTGGAGTTTTGGAAACTCGAGGAATTTGCTCGATTTTTGGATTTTGAGGCTCCCGCTCGAGTTTCCAAAAATCCGAAACTTGGGTTGGAGTTTTTGGAACTTTTTGGAAACTCGAGGAATTTCCTCAAAATCCAAAAATCGAGCAAATTCCTCGAGTTTCCAAAATTCCAAAAATCCAAAAAAATCCACCCCAAGGTTGGGAATTTTGGAAATTCGAGGAATTTGCTCGTTTTTTGGATTTTGAGGCTCCCGCTCGAGTTTCCAAAAATCCAAACCTTGGGGTGGGTTTTTTTGGATTTTTGGAATTTTGGAAACTCGAGGAATTTGCTCGATTTTTGGATTTTGAGGCTCCCGCTCGAGTTTCCAAAAATCCAAACCTTGAGGTGGATTTTTTTGGATTTTTGGAATTTTGGAAACTCGAAGAATTTGCTCGATTTTTGGATTTTGAGGCTCCCGCTCGAGTTTCCAAAAATCCAAACCTTGGGGTGGATTTTTCTGGAATTTTGGAAACTCGAGGAATTTGCTTGGTTTTAGGATTTTGAGGCTCCCGCTCGAGTTTCCAAAAAGCGGAACCCTGGGTTGGAGTTTTTGGGTTTTTGGATTTTTGGAAACTCGAGGAATTTTGGAGTGGTGCTTTTCCCCCCCCTTCCTGAACAGACCGGAAATATACTTCCCGGGTCTGTCGAGGGGGGGGGGGGGGGGTGACCATATATATATATATATATATATGTTTTATATGATATATATATATATGTATATAGTTATTCATTTATATATATATATATGTTATAACAGCGCCCAAATGCGCCCTGTATGCTGTGCGTGTAGGATGTCTGGCCCAGGCTTTGAATAACGAACTCCTGGCCAACTTCATACAGACAGCCCAGGCCAGTCTGTAGTCTGCTGCTCTTTAGATCCTGAACCGGGAGGGAGAAGCAGGGTGGACCGTTGGGCCGTTAAGTTAGTCAGGGCTGTTGCTTCCCAGTTGCAATCAACGTGCTGATTCAGAGCGTGACCAATGTTTCTCGTCGGACAGAAACCGCAAGATACAGTCGGTATCATGCTGGCATGCTGTGGGACCGGAAGGCATGGAATACCTGACTATCAAGTTGCGCATCCCCCGCTACATAGTCTGGCTGGAAAAGCCGCGTGATGCACATAGTTTCCCTAGTCTCGGTCCGCGGGAAGGCGTTTGGTGCTGATGGCTTCTCACCTTCCACGGCTGAGGAAGCCTCAATGGTGCTGCAGGGACCACAGTACTTATTACAGAGTTGTCCAGTTGGTTCGATGCCAATGTTTGTCCAGTGTATTCTTCACCCTGGGCTTAGAGATCCGACGTGTAGAGGTCTTGGTGTTGATTGGATCAAGGCCCCGTAAATCCCATAAAGCTAGCGACTAGAAGGGACTGCAATCCTTCCACTTACTTCACCAACATTGTTTTGCATAGAAGCAACAAGGATGCAGGTCTAATACGTGGCAGAGAGTGCCCCTCTCCTATACAAAATCTTCACCACCACACAAAGTATGTAACCCTTTAGGTCCGTTGAAGAAATAGCTTCATGCGAGCTGAAGGGGGTTTTTCACCCCTGAGAGGTGCTCAAGTTTGCGCTCAAGTGCGCAGACATTGGCCACTTGGCGCTGGACTGGCCTGGACACCTACGTTGGGTACAGCGGCTCGAGGAGGTCTCTGCTGGAAGTCAAAACTCGGGGTTTGGGCGATTTTCTGGGGTACATTGTTGCTTGTTATGAGGGAATCCTACTATTTGGGGGTCTACATTAAGGGTCCCTGATTCTTCGTAAACTCACCAGAGGGCCATAGGGTTTCGGGCTTTTGGGTTTGCTGTAAAGAGTGGCTGGCTTCCTGGTTTGCAGGGCAGGTGCGACACAAGGGTTTTTCTGAGGCGTTTGGATTGCACGTCGCTTCGCAAGCGCACAGTGGTTGCCATGGAACTGTGTGGAACCTGACGAGAGCAGTGCGTTAGCCACAGGAAAGCCCTAGAATTGAGCCTCATCATAAACCCAGGCCCTAGCTGAGAACCTAGAGCTGACTCCCGAAGCACAAGCACCCAAGCCATGGCCAGCCCAAGCATCAAAGCCGCAGAAAGCGCCGGATCCACCGTGTACTTTTACTTGCATGCGCGGGTGGGTGGGTGGGTGGGTGGGTGGGCATGAGTGGGTGGGTGTGGGCA